TATACAAAATCGATTAGCTTAGTAAAATTTTGCGTAAATTGAGATTTTTGAAAAGTGACAAAATTTTAAAATTTTTATTAAGTTTTGTATATTATTTGATTTGATTCGATTCAATTCGATCAAATCAAATTCAAATCAAGAATTTATTTGATTTGAACAATATTTGATTTGATTCGATTTGACTTTGAGGAACCCTAGGTACTAAAAGATGATCTATTAGCTAGTTGTTATAAAAATAACTAGGGATGGATCGGTCCTGAAAAAGACCGATCTGGACCGGTTTCTAGACTGGGACTGATAAGGACTGTGGGACTGTTGAATGGACTGGTCCTGGCCAGTCCTTACTGGTCCTTGTAAACATACTTTGATATTGATATCATCCAATCAAAAATTGCTTGATCAAATGTAACACAGATCATATATATGTTTGTCATATCTGATAGTCATTTTTGACTAATAGGATCACATGCAATAAGATATGACAGAATCATTAAAGGACCATTTTGGGACTACGAGGGCAGACCAGAATGGACAAAAAATACTATGATAATGGTCTCACTAGGACCGGGACCGACCGGACCGGACTGATTCATCCCTAGAAATAATGTCTTGAATTATCACTTGCAACCTTTAAAAATCTTGTAGTAAAAAGTTTTGCAATAAAACTCTTGTACAGTAAGACCTCTCTAAGTGCACCCTCTCGAAACCATAGTCAAAAAGCCAAATATGCACTTAAAGAAAAAATGCATTTATAGAGAGCAAAATATATAATGTACTTATAAGTTGGGGCCAAGTTATGCTATGCATTTAGAAAGAATTTATATAGTATATACACTTAGAGAGGTTTTACTGTAATAACAGTCTAAAAATTCTAAATTTATATATAGATAGCTCTTTAGAAAATGAACTTGAAGTGGAAAATAATCAACAATCAATACCTACTATACCTCTTATGAAGGTTATTTCAGCTAAACAAAGTGTTGAAGCTGGGTTTGGTTATTTATAAATAAAAAAACTTGATAATATTAAGTTTTATTTGAAGAAAATAGTAATGCAAATGGTTTTGTCAATAAAAAACAAATATAACTATTGCTTTAAGAATCAAATTTTGTTGTAGTTAAGGTTAGCTTCTTTGGTTTATTACTTTTATTAGATTGTAGAATTATATGAAGCTTTTTTCAAGAGGTCTCAAACAAATACATTGTTATATTAGCAAATTTATTAGTCAAATTTATTTAGATTATATATTTTTTATTAGGCAATTTTTATTAGTCGAATTTTATTAACAATTTTTATTATATATTTATTATATATTTTCTTAAATTT